CTATTACAGAGGATGATGCAGCCTCTATTTTTTTTTTTAACCACCATCCTCACCAAATTCTGGTGAAGTCATATTTCAGGGTGGTGGGGGTGAGACACTAATGGCATTTTAGCCTATTTCTTTAATTATGGCCTAAATTACCATACACTCCTTCTTTAGTCTTATAGGATCAGCTGGTCTGCATGAAAGATCAGAAATGTAGTTTAGCTGAATGTTTTTGTGTCTCTGCAAGATGCTAATGATGCCTCCATCCTAATACATTAATTAATATGGCTCAAGGATTGAGTGAACATGGGACAGAAAGGTTTACATAGTAATTAAAACTGTTAGACATTTGGGAGAGAGAGAGAAAATGCATTATTTGTAAATGGCTAACTGGGCAGGGAGATAAGCTGACCTTGAGTCAGATAATGATTCCTTTTACACTCTTATCCAGGTATAAAATTGTATGTGTCCTTGACCAGAGATGTAAGGCTGAAAGCTTAACTTATTCCCACCCCACCTTTGAGTGGTCTTTCATGTAGATAATTCCAACTTGCCATTATAGGGACTAAGCATCTACCATCGGTTTACACCTTTTTGTGCCAATCGGTTATTTTTTCCATTAAAAATGATATGTCTCCTATATTCTTATAAATATGCTTATTTTTTTCTAAAATGGAAAGGAATATTAGAATAAAAATAATTTTATTGTATGCATTTTAATGTTAAAAGTTATAATTCTGATAAAAGTAAATAAATTCAAATATACCACAGAAATCATACAAATAAAGACAAAGCAAACATCAATAAAAAACCTTAATGGGAGAAAAGGACCAATACCAACAATCATATCAATAAATATAAACTATTTGTTTACCCTTTAAAGAGTTTATATAAAAAAACTCTAAAATATTTTGTTTAAAGTTAATGAGACACACTTGAAATGTCGGCAATAGACAAAAACTTAAAAGCTAATATCAAGAAAAAAAAACTAATAAAAAGGCCATTACATAATTTTAACAATACATGTTCCAAAAATTTCTAAGAAAAACGAGTTAAACAATGAAATGTAATCTATCAGAGACTTCAACCCTTACAAAATCTGTGTGGGATGGGATATAAATAGAGTCAAATAAAATTACAATAAATTATTTAAAAGAGAGATCCTGTTCTTCAGGTAATCCTTATTCTTTTACACTGTTCCTTTTGAGAATTTGATTACATATATAGGATCTGTCTCCAGATACAATTTGCCAAAAATTTCAGGTATTCAAGAACTTCCTGAAGCTACATTACCATCCCTTAGTACACATTAGGATAATAATGGCTAACATTTGTAAGTTAGCACATTCCCAAGTGCGAGGTATTATACTAAATACTTTATATGCATTTTAATTTAATTATTATAACATCTTTATAAGGTAGGTACTACTTTTACCCTCAAACAGCCTATGAGATCAATACTGTCATTATTTCCATTTTACAGATCAGGAGAGTGACGCTTAGATGTACTGTTACTTGTGCAATGCCATACAGCCAATGAGCAGGAGAGATGGGATTTATTTAGATCATTATCTCTCTGATCCCAGGTTTCCAGCTCTTAATCACTATGATATACTGTCTCTCACTAAGGTCTTTTCATATTAATTAAAAAATCAGTACACCTGAAAAAGAGATATAAACATATCCCAAAGTATATCCAATCCCATTTTTTATTTATATCACCCTCATTGCAAAAGAGAATTTGAAGTAGTTACAGAGATACACACAGAATAAAAAATAAACATAGGAATGTGCGGGGGTGGGGGTAAGAAAGTGAGATGAAACTAGAGGTAGACCCAGAAACAAAAATGAGTATCATAAGGTCATCTACGATTGATATAAAGGTGAGTCACATATTTGTCTCTGAACAACATAGTAGCCAAGGAAAAGAAGAATTTAATCAATAATGTTTTACCTAGTACTGAATTGGAGGAAAAGATCTTTTCTAGGGAACACTGATTGTATGGACAATATCCTTAACAACATAATACAGTAGAGACTTTAAGATAAATGTTTCTTACAAGAATTTCGTACATATTTCTTGACGTAGGCCAAAGCATAATGTCACAGTATATGTTGGGAAAGACAATTCTATCCAGGGTACAATGCAGTCTCAGAATACAACTCTATAATGAACTGGATTGGGCAGAGGAGAAGATATGGAATAGACAGGGAAATGGACAGACTGTACATACTTCAGGTAATTTTTCCAGCAATTAAGCCTTTGAATTTAACAGTTGATAGTAAATTTTTTCTAACAAGAACCTGGAGTACAGAAATTCTACATTGTTTAGTAGGTCACATTCGTATGCATGGACAATCAAGCAGAGGGTAAAACTGATAATTTCTTATGGAGGTTAGGGGGCCTGAAGAGGACAGATATCTGAATTTTAGACTTTCCACCAAAGGGAGTGTAAAGATAGTATCTATCTATATGTAGAGATAATGTGTAATTCGCACTGATGTGTAAATATGTAGTATTTGAGACATGGCTGGAATCCAAATGGAAAAATTTTCTTTGTTTTTGTTAAATAAGAATGTTGCTATAATACAGCGATATTATGGAAAGTTGCCAAGGCAGTACTTGAGAAAACATATTGCTCTTAATACCTTTATTAGTTTACAAAATAATAAATTTAGTATCTATATAAGAACATAGATATGGAACAAAGTAACAAAAATTAAAAAATGAAAGAGCAGAAATAAACTATTCAAATTGACAATAACTAATATTTAAAATGCAAGTTAGAGTTGCTACTTTGAAAAAGAACCAAATCACAGCACTGGTCTAGTTGCTAAAAGAATAAAATTAAATTTAAAAGAATTCAGATAGAGAGTTATTTCTAAATTTTATTCTGGAGATGGAGGAGAAGGGACCAAATTGAGGTCATAAAAGGGGTAACATTAGAGTTATGCCTTTAAAGTTGGGTAAGATAAGGACAAACAGGAATAGAGCACTGGGAGGGAAAAACATTCCTGGAAGATGAAACGGCCTAAGGATATACAGACAGGGAAGCATACTGTGTACCATTTAGAAATAAGGTAGGTAAGATTGGTTGAGACAAATCATGGAGGATCTCATTATCACCAAATATGTAGAAGAAGGAAGGAAGAATAAAGAGAAAAACAGACTTAAGTCTGAACTTTAAGGAAACTCTCTGAGAGACAGCAAGAAACAAGGTCAGTTTGAAAGTGGAGGATATAAATGCTCAACAGATATTTGTTGATTGAATAAAAGAAATGGCCATGACTATATGTTGCTATAGAAGTCAAAACACAAAAATGAGCCTAGTGATTTTACAAAGAGGATGTGAAAGCAAGATGATGTACTATTTGAATAAAGAAGTTTATACCCTAATTAGAAGAGCAAGAACTACAGAACATATAATACAAATAATCGAATATCTCATATTATATTTACCTTTATAGGTGTGTATTTGAACATGTTTCTCTGTAGTGTTCCTAGAGAATTCTGAATCCATGTACCTTTTAAATTTAATACCTTTCATATGATAGCGAGGGAAAGGTATTTGAAATAATTCTGGAGGAGTTATCAGGTGAACTTCCCTCCTGAGACTGGCAACTTAACTCTATTCAGAGAATTTTCTATATCAGAGTGAGTAAAACCAAACTTATAAAGTTGCTAGGTATTCAGAAAAGAAGCTCTTTAAATTCAACCACATCTGTGTATGCTTTATCACTAGACAACAAGAGGTATGGATTCTATGGTGATGTTATCACACTATGAAAAGATGCTGTTGCTACACCAAAAGGTTATGCACCACAACAACAGTGAGTGTATTATTCTTAACACTGAAACTGAAGCCAGAGTTAGCTAAAATATCTAACTTTTAGGAAGTAAAAGTTTAGAAGTTGAATAAAATAATTTTCCGGGTGAGATTAATGGGTTGAAAGTGAGTCTGTCTGCCTATCTGTCTCTCTCTCTCCTCTATTTCTATTTTTATTTCTATATTTATATTTCTACTGATATATGTTTAAAAAATAAAGGTAACATCTCCACGTAAATTTAAAGGACAAGTTAATTACCATGCATTTAATTAACTTTAGTAGGACTATATTAAGGATAACAATATAGAAGTCTAAAAATATTTCAGAAGACTGTTCTGTTTAAGACACTATCTTGTTTATCTTCAGTGAATAGGCAATGATGCCACATTAAAGCAAGCTTGTATGTATGCATAAGCCCAACGAGTCCAACACCACTCTGGAAGCATAGATGAGGAACTCAGCCTGCGATGGGCTATGAGCCAATATCCATACATCTATGCCCCACATCCAATGCCATACATACACTGGGACACTGATTCATCACTCAACCACATTGTCAATCAACAACAGTAGAAACATTCATGGTTTTCTGTTAATAGGTTAACACTGGTTTTTGTTTACTGACCCAAAGTATAAGGAAAGGGAGAAGCAAGGCATTTATAAATTTAGTTACATGGCTAGCTGTTTCAAATGTGTCATAGGGACTTCATATTATGGGGTGAAGTAACATTTTCTAAACCTTTATACAAATAAACACCCCTTTACCAATATGACATCTTAACGTTGCTAACCCAAATACAAATAGACATGATGCGGTAAGTTTGTTTAACGGCAATACTGTCACTCTTACTGATGAAATCTTCAGTTGTTAGTATGGCTTTGTATATTAGACTATTTGTGATACATTTGTATAAATTCTGGTTTCTATCATTTAATTAGCCTCCAGGGTAGAGGATATAAGTCATAGAAAATACAATATGCTCATGATGAGCTTCTTTTTTAAAAAAAACATTGTTTTAAATGTTTTGAATACCTTTTAATTTCTTGTGATCATTCTTTCATGCTCAAAAATGTACCTGACATTCAGAATGCTTTCTAAAGAATTATAAAATTTCCATTAAAATATGGTTCATAGGATGAAGATTTGAAGCTAGATTTTCAAGTATAAATTTAAGAAATATACTTACCTTTGATTCGAGGTAGACATTTGCTGATGACATTTTTGTAATTTTGCATATGTAACTAACTAAAGAGATGGCACAAAGAATAAACAGGCTATCGTTAATTAATGCTCGAACAAACACAGTCCATTTCAACTGATTTTCTGGGACATCTCCGTGGACTAGCATTGCACAAGTCAAGTTCACCACTAAAAAGAGAAGGCTTGCCAATATAAAGCCCAAATGCAACAGAATTCTGAAAGAAAAAAATGAGTTTATTAGATGTTTAAAAAACTAAGAGAAATTAAACTTAATACTGAATTAGTGTGTACTTACTTTAAGTACAATAATTCCTTCAGTTTAAACTGCTTGTAATTTAATTTAATACAAATTTAATAACTACTCAGAGTTACTTGGGATATTTTTGCCATTATGAAATTAGTATCTAAGCCATTTAAAAATGGCATGAGATTCTAAAGCACTAATTTAAAAATAATCTCATGTGGACTTGAATTCAGTTGTCTCTACCAGGAAGAATAATATTGGACTATTTTAACATTAATTCAAGTAATCCTGAATTTTTCATTTTCGTAACTGCTGAGCACATTTTCATTGACCTTTCCATTCTAAGAATTATCAGGTTTTTATAATTTGCTTGGAAAATTAATATACAGTATATAAATTTAAATTGATCACTAATATTAACTTTAAGAGGTAAGGGAAATGTGTTTTAAACAATGTTCAGTTTTATGAACATCTGATTATCTATAGCAAACATTTCTTTCAAACAAGACTAAAGAGGAACATAGGGACAATATACGTAGAGTTTCACACACTCATCAATACCTCGTCTTCTTATAAAGTTGCATATTTACTATGCATACAGAACTACTCCCAAAGTAAAATGCTTAACCACTTCCCCCTAAAAAATATTGGACCACCTCTAATTTTTAAACTCTTCAGGTAAGGTGTGGCTGTCTGTATCAAGTAGTTGGAACAGCTTCCTGTATGAAAGTAATCCTAGTTCAAATACATTTATACCCCAAATTAACATGATCTAGAAATTTATTTGCCATTCTAATATCTTCCATTTTGGTCACTTTCAATAGTGGGAATCATAAAATGTTGTTTGCCTTTGGGAGTAATTTACACAAGGAAAAATTGAAGGTAATGTGTAATCTGTAACAAGAAATCTTTATTAAGTATACATGCAAAGTACAAAGATTTTAGTTTGAGAAGTTTAGATCCTAATATTCTCTCAGATTAAATAATAAAAATAATAATTATATACTTTGAAACCCAAAATGGACCTTGAAATTATCCATGCATCCAGGGGATTATAGTAGTTTAGGAAACAAAAGTACCGAGAGGTTAGATGAGTTGCATAGCTGGCAAGTTTGTGGGAGAATTGGTCTGAAACCCAAGGCTTCTGATTCCCAGGTTTAGCAATCTCATTTCTGAGGTGAATCAGTACTGAAATATTACTTATTTCATGGAACTGTACTATATATTCTTACTCTAAACAGCATAATCTATCTTGAGTATTTGTGGACCCTATGAAACAGTACTAAAACATCTGACATCTGAAGTGGGCCAGTGACAGAGCAGCAAAAAAAGGTGTTTGGCAGCAATACTGCTGAAGGGGAATGACCAGATTACTCATTTCACTTCCTATGAACTAATCTAACTACTTGATCTTCTATAAAACTGCTAAGGCATCCTCAACTACAAAGCCCTTCTACCTTGGGAAGTGTACTGTGAAAAAAAATATAGATCTTGCTACTCATGAAACTTACTTGTGTTTGTCAAGTTCAGTTGCACATCTGACTTTACATATAACCTATAAAGAGAGTACAGAAAGAAAGTTTTGAAAACACGTGTAATATAGTATTCTTAAATTTGTTTTGATTTTGTGTTTCAAAGTGATACAACAAATAATAATAGATAGCAAGTAAAACTCAAAAGTTAACAGTTGAACTACTCTGGAGAAAACATAGGCAGATTTCCAAAGGTTTAATACAATAAATTAATAACTTTCTATGGTATAATCTTAAATTTCTATATTTTTAAACAGAATTAATTCAGTTTAAACATTTATTGAACTTATTTTTTACATTGGAGTATAGTTGATTAACAATGTTGTGTTAGTTTCAGGTGTACAGCAAAGTGATTCAGTTATACATTTACATGTATCTATTCTTTTTCAAATTCTTTTCCCATTTAGATAATTACAGAATATCAATCAGAGTTCCCTGTGCTATACAGTAGGTCCTTGTTGGTTATTCATTTTAAATATAGCAGTGTGTACATGTCAATCCCAAACTCCCTAACTATCCCTCCCTGCTACCCTTCCCCTTGGTAACCATAAGTTCATTCTCTAAGTCTGTGAGTCTGTTTCTGTTTTGCAAATAAGCCAGACAATGGGAAGGATGGCTTGCCACCTATTCTAAACTTCATTATATCACTCATGTTTTGCCTTAAAATGGAACAACTTACTTAAATATGAATATGGGTGAGTGTTCTCCAAATATTATTTACCCCTAAGATGAAATAAAATAGTAATAAGAAAGAAGGGAACAAAAAATGAACACAAAGATGAGATCATATTTAGTGAACTTACTTTCTTCATAAAGCCTTGCAAAAGGCAGGTCCTCAAATATCTGATGAATAAAGTTAATCAGGTAGGTTAAGTAGAATTTGAAATAAACATGGTAACCTCTGAAAACATACTGTGGAAGGTCTCAATTCCTAACTGGTGAATATGGACTTTATTATTTAGATAATGGGAAGATATGGAGGGTTTTTATGTAAGCACTCCAAATCACAGAATTTCATTAATCTGGCATCAGCGTAAGGCAACTGCAGAGAAACTTCAGACTAGAAGTAGAAAGACTAATTACAAGACTACTGAAATAGAGTATGAACTTTGAGCGGGGGGTGGGGGGGCCTGGAAAGAAAGAGGCAAGTACAGAACATTATAAAGGAAAACAGTGTAAGTACTCAATAACTTACTGATTCCATTCAAACAGTTACTGAGCACACACTATGAAGGGTACCATGGATTCATACATACAGTAACTGGTTCTGCCCTCAAGGAGCTCAGTATATGGAAGAAAGAGATAAACCAACTATTTTGAAACATTATGTCATCAATGCAAAAGATGCTACCACAACAGCTAAGAAGGAGGATAGACTAATTCAGTGCAGGAAATGGTGAGAGGTAAGGGGAAAGAGGAGAGACTGTGTAAAGGGTCAGGTAGGCAGGACTTAGAGAAGTCACATTTGAGTCAAGTTATGAAGGATAAATGAGTGTTAGACAGGTAAAGGCTCAGGCAGAGATAGCAGCCTGTGCGTCTACTCATATCTATTGTATTTTGGTGAACAAGCTAGATGTGATAGATGATTTTAAAATACTACCCTCTTAATCTCAAATTGTACCACTTAAATCATCCTCAGATACATCTGTTTTCTTTGTCTTTACTACTATATAGCCTTTTAATTGGTCTCTCTGCTTCCATTCTTAACTCCATCTGTATCTTTAGAAGATAACTATTCATTTTGCTATTTTTCCTTTATTCTCGCCTCTCTACATGTTTTATTTTTACCTAAAAGCTGTACTAAAATATGACATAAAACTACAATTTAACCAGTTTTTAAGTGTACAGTTTCATTGCACTGAGTACATTCACATTGTTGTGCAACCATCACCACCACCCATCTCCAAAACTTTTTCATCCTCCCAAATTGAAACTCTGTATCCATCTAACAATAACTCCTTATTCCTCTCCCCTCCAGCCTCTGGCAACCACCATTCTAATTTCTGTCTCTATGAATTTGGCTACTCTAGGCACCTCATATAAGGGAAATTATACAATATTTGTCCTTTTGTGACTGGCTTTCTTCACTCAGCATAATGTCTTCAAGGTTCATCCATGACATCACACATGTGGATGTGTCAGAATTTCCTTCCTTTTAAGGCTGAATAATATTCCATTTTATGTATATATCAAATTTTGTTTAAACATTCATCCACTGATGTTCACCTGAGCAGCTTCTACCTTTTGGATACTGTGAATAATGTTGCTATAAACATGTCCTATACGTGAACATGTTCTATATATGATTTAAAAAATCATTTGAGAGTAAGTTGCATATGTGATGCCCCTTTACCTCTAAATATTTCAATGTATACTTCCTTAAAAAAGAAATTCTCTTATATAACCAGTATGATTAAAAAAATCATAAAATTGATACTGATAAAATACTATTATCTAATCTGCAGACCTTACTCAGATTTTGCCATTTGGTCCCCAAAATGCCATTTATGGGAGGGAAAAATCCAAGATTATACATTACACATAGATTTCATGTATACTTAATTCCTTAATTGTCATTTTTCCCCTTTGTCTTTCATGATATTCAGTTTTAAAGAGTTCAGACCAGTGATTTTGTAGAATGCTTCTCACTGGGTTTATCAGATATTTCCTCATGGTTAGATTCAGAATTTGCGTTTTGGTAGGAATACCACAGAAATGATGGTGCTGCATTCTTTCAGTGCATTATATCATGAGGTTCATGATGTTGATTTGTCCCATTACTGTGAGGTTAACCTTGATCATTGGTTAAGATGGTATCTACCAGGTTTGTCCACGGTTAAGTTACTGTTTTTCCCACTGTAATGAGTATCATGTGGAGAGGTATTCAGAGACTAGTAAATATCTTTTATTTGTCAAACTTCCATACGCTAGTTTTAGCATCTATCAATCATTCTTGCCTGAATAAATTATTACTATGATGGAACACCTTCTTTTAAAAAAGTAAATCTGATCATACTACTCCAGGAAAAAGCCCATACTCCTTTGATACAGAAAAGGTCTTTTATCACCTAGTTCCACCTTCCCATCATTATATCCTTTTATCCCCATCTTCAATCTTATGGTCTGCTCATTCTGAATTATTTACAACTTTCAAATAAGGGGTTTAATTTCACATCTCCGTGCCTCTGTACACGCTTTTACTTTACCTGAAATATGATTTCATGGTCATAGAGCAAATTCCAACTCATCCTTCAATACCTTACTCTTTGTCATTTTTTATGTTGTCACCTTAAGTGCCTTAAGAAGAGGGAAACCACTCTGTAACCCTGCATTACAAATCATACTTTATGGCATTTGTTTACATTTTCATTCCCCTCTTAAGAGAGACTGTAACTTACTCATATGTATAGCCCCAGTGCCCAGCATGATACCTGGTTCACAGTAGGTTCAGAAAATGTTTGAATAAATGAGCAGTGAATTTAGGTCAAAGCAAGTACTTTGGCATGTTGTTGTGGTGTGGGTGAGTATGGGAAATACAGCACAAGCAGAAACTGAAGGGGAAAGCAGTCGTCCAATCACGGAGACCCTGTATAAAAATGTCAAAGGATTAGACCTTAACTCCCACAAGCTCTGTAATATGATTTTATGCTCAAGTGATTTCTTAGGTGACAGTGTAGACAATGGATTAGAATGGCATAAAGAATTCCAGTTAAAAGACTGTTGCATTTGAGTGAGTCCATGCAATCTCATTCTCAGGTTTTGAATCTAAAGAACTGATAGAATGAAAGTCCCACTGACAACAACTTTAAAAAGTCAGGTCATAGAACTGATTCTTAGTTTTAAAATTTATTAGATATAGGCAGAAATAGAGATGGCAGATGAGTTTTGGAATATAAGAAGTAAATCACAATCTCCTACAGAGGTGACAGCTGCAACTCAAAGTAGAATATATTTGGGGGAGCAAATGTAGAATGAGAAATCAACCTGTGATATGTTCACATTTATTAGTCAAAATGAAAAAGCCCAAAAAGTGAAGAAAAGAGAGATGACCAAAGGACACAGACTTAAGAATCAGACTAGTCACAGCAGTGGAGTACTTTAGAGGTGAAAGGAAGAAAGTTCAGCCATTGTTAAATTCTGCAAAAAGTCAAGAATAATTAAGAAACAACCATTTGATTGAGGTATCTTGAATAGTTTTCAGCGGAATGACAGGAAAAAATGCAAGGAAGTAAGATGACAAAGGCAGTGAGCACAGATTATATGAGATATCTTTGAAGATAGGAGATAAGAAAAGGAAAATTTGTATTGGAAATCATGTTTTGGAATATTGCAGGTTTCTGCATGCCAGGTTTTCTACTATGCAAGGGGTTTACACAGCAAACATCCTTGAAAATTAGAGATAGTGTCTACCTTAGGGTCAGAGGGAAGATCTGTCTCCTGATTGGTATAATATAGAGTACATTTCCCTCCCTGGAGATATTCCAGGGGAGTAAAGTCTTCCTCTCTCTCCTTGGTGAAGATTTGCTTACATTCCAGAGTAAAGATAAGGGCTGTCTGTCTTCCTCATTTTGGGGTTTCTCTCCTGTAACACACCTTGCTTCATACACAGGTAACATCTGGCTCTCATTGTGTTGCCTTACAGGAATTGGGCTTGGGCGCTTGATTCAAAATATTGCTTTGGTTGCTTTTTGTTTTTTTGCCATGAGTAATAAATGGTCTTTTTCTCTGACCCATGGGTCTTCTGTTTTCTGTTGGTGTATGCATTATAAAACTGTGGCAGGCTAACCTGTCAGCTTTCAAGTAGGGTAAAATCTCAGATTTTCACAGTTTCTGATTTAATAATCTGCTGATCAAAAATGAACTAGAGGGGGTGAAATGGTAAATGGAGGACAGTGGGAGTGAGGAAAGGAGAGTTCAATTGCTAAAGAAGGCTCTAGGTGAGGCAGGTCAGCCCTGAAAAGGAAAACACATACTATTGAGTCAAGAGGGTAGAAAAGATAGTTGAAGAAAAATTTGGAGGTCT